TCTACATTCTCTCTGGACCATGCTCTACCATATAGGCTTCTGCTCCCATAATCCGTGTATGTCAGGTATCTGATTGTAACCTAAATTACTAAGACAACTGCTTGTAGTTTTCAGTTTGTCGGGTGGACAAAGCCTCAGCTGAAACCTGAAGACACAGGGAAGTGTCTCCGTCTGTAATTTTTAAAATATTCCATGCACTTCTTGATTTGCTGAATGGCTGGTTGGCTGCAATGGACAAGTAAGCCAATGCGGTGGCTTCAGGATCGTGTGTGTTAGGAGTGTGTGTGTGTGTGTGTGTGGGAACATAAATCACAAATATGAGGAATCTGAATTGTTTTAAAAAGTTCACGATATAAATAATAAAGACTGGTACAGTCAAAGGCCACTATTTGAATCTCTTAGACATCCAGACTGTTTTGGAAATGATGCCAGAGGAGCTACGACTAACGACAAGGTGTCACGTACGTATATGGAGGTGGACGTTGATGGCAGGCATCGAGGTACCCACAAACTCCAACAGAGGCCCCTGTGTACCCTCAAAGGATTGCTGAACTCTATCTCATATACTTCAGAAGCCCTAATCTTATCTAGAATAATGAGTAAAATGCTTGAATTATATAAAAAGTATCACCCATGCAAATACCTATTTGTTAAAATATGGCTTTTGTTTAGGCTAATCTCAATAAGAAAAGTAATAGCCTCATTTCTATGACTCTTTTAGAATGTGGGAAATTTCTCATGCATCGGCCCTTCCCTGAGCAGTAAGATGGGCATCTAGTTTGATTTATTGATAGAATGAGGGGAAAGAATCCAACTTAGCCTTATCTTCTCTTAAAACTGAATCAATAAATCATGGGCCTGATGGAAAATAAATTTACTGAAGCTATAAGAAAGCTTAGCATGGTCAGGTTCTGACTGGCTGCCTTTTGGGCCCTGCTGGCCATCAGATTACCTGAACCCCGATAACAGGTTTTCCTTTCACAACTGCAGGTATCGTCACATTGACATTTCCATTAGCCCGGAGAAGTTTCTTGCAGTCACTACAGAACATGTTAACAACCAGCACCCAGGCAATCATGCCCTAAGACGTCCTCTCTGCTATGTTACTGTGTATGGGGCCGGGGTGGGGGGGGGTGGACGGGGGGAGGCAGGGGGTTGTGCGAGAAGGGGAAGAAGACATTGTATTGCTTGCTTATGGCCCTTTTGACAAGGAATACAGTCGTAAGCAAAACCAACAGGCAGAAGGTGATGAAAGAACAGGCAAAAGCAACAGACAGATGAGATGATCATGGGGTCCATCAGACACATTCCTAAATTAATACAACTGTCGCAGTCAGATGGAAGGTGCTGGTCTAACAGACTCAAACATTAGTCTGCTGAGCAACACTCCCACGCCTCCACAGAGTAGCATTTTTATTGCAGTATGTCCTTCATGGAAAATGAACAAAATTTTAAATAAATCACAATTACTTATTGCTTAGTATTTTGGATAATAAATTCTTTAGTTTATCAGTACCTCAGGGCCTTCAAATGTGCATTCTTCAAATAGTTTCAATTACATATACATTCTTTCTCCTGAACAATAAATTATTCTTTAAAAAAAAAGTAAAAGGAAAAGATACATAATTTTAAAGCAAAGAAAAACAAAAAAACATATATTTTTGACATTTGTCTTAAACTTATATGAAAACAACTCTATGTTAGATGCTTAAATATAAATAATAAAGGACATTATGTTATTTACAATGTTACACAGTAAGTTGAGAGAGTAAAAAAAACTGACATTAACTCATAAAGACAGTAAATGATTTAGGAAAACATCCAAGTAACGTACAATGTGTATTTACAAAAGAATATATAATTGAACTCGTGATATGTGGCCATTTCCCTTTGCCTGCATTTCTCTGCAGTGTTTCATGGGTCCTTGCAGATAGAAATCTCTGTGGGTGGTGAAATGGAGCCAGTGCTAAAAGATAAAACAAGGCCTTCCTTATTTCCACTAATGTGAACCATGCACCTTTTTACCCAGGCCAAAAAAAAAAAAAAAAAAAAAAAAAAAAAATAGTTATGAGCTAGTTACCCTGGATAAACTCCATCTACATCACGACAGTCGCACCAAAACACGGAAGATATGGTATGTCGGTGTCTGGGACACATTCACATATACTCAGGCAGAGTGCCATTTTGTAGACAGCATGAGGCCGTCCAGGCAATCTTGGGGGGAAAATAAAAAGGTCATACCAGCCAAGAAGGGAGAGTAGGCCGGGAAAGGAATCTTGAGTGACGGAAAGAAGTTTTGCGTCCGCTGCGCTACCCCTCATGGGATATGATGTCAGACCCGGGGAGACATAGCTGCTGTCAAACTCCCAGGTGGCCTCCCCCACCTGAAAAGCCACGAAAACTTGCCACATGCTGGGAATATCGGTTCACGCTCCTTCTTTGCATTGCCACTGCACTGTCTGAGTTTATGGACAGAGCTGGTTGAGAGCGATGTGGTAACTACCACAGAGGAGTCCTTGCGAACACAAAGCTCATGGTTGCAACGCACAGCCCTGAGGAACCAGCTGTCCTTTCTTCTCAGGGGGAGCTCTGGTCCTATAGATGGAAAGGCTGTCCCAGCTAACATGCCACCTCTCTGAGTGACCAGAATCAAGTCGGAAATAAAATTTCCTCTTGTCCTAACTGTTCATATGTATTTGTGACCTGAAACATTTAGAGCTATCTTCACACTGGGGAATATGTTCATTGCTCTCAATAGGAGATTTGATTTATTCCTGGAATTCTCCACCGTGGGGCCTTTGGGTACTCCAATGCCTGAAGATTTCTGAAACAGAGATTTTGGACTTTGAATTCACAGTAGAAATTTCTTTATTGACATAGCCTCTGGATGAGCCAAGGCCTTCAAAGGCAATATTGGCATAAGTTAGAGAAGCTCTTTGGGTCGACTGTCTTCTTCCCCTGCCATGAGCTTACTCGTTTCTACAGAACTGGGCAATCAGAGCGACTTGTGCAGCCTGACAGGAGCAGTGAGGACACTGCTGAGCACAGAGAAAGTGGCTTGCGAATAAGGAAGGACAGGTTAGGATACCAAATACTAAAAGTAACTGCCAGGACCTGCAGACAGACACCTCTGTGGGTTGCAGAAACATGTAAGGAGCTTAATGACATGACTCATGCCCAGCCCACGTTTCCCCAAGACCTCCTTGCCTGTCACGTCTCCTCGTTAATGTTCATATAGAAATTTGATGAGGAACTAAATTCAGTTCACCTGCAAACAAGGAGCCGTTGCTTTCGCTGACTTCACACCTGGTATTCTGAACCCCCTGCCAACCTGCTTCCCATTTTGTCGCATGGATCCTAGGAGGTCACTGGGAATCTAAGTAGAGCTCTAGCCAGCTTTGACAGATATCTGGCAGGGCATGAAATGGGGTCTGCGTTGTTTTTGTTTTTTAATTGCCTTGTTTTCCTGAATCAGCAGTTATCTCAAATGGTAACACCTCTAGGCCTTCTTTGGACTTACAATCACAGAGAACATGCAAAGTTCAGACCCGTCTTCATCCTGTTTTGTGACAGTAAAGCAGAAAGTAAGAAGTGGGGCAGGGGTGGATGATAAGGGCTGCAGATGGAGAGGTCAGTACACAGGTGGGGGTCACTTCTGCAAGGAAAGGTGCAATCTTTTCAACACTACCAACATTTCCTGATGAATCATCGCTCGTGGAAGGTTCTCGCTAATCACAAATCACATGCACATTGGCCATTCCTGACAAAAATGTTCATGCATAGTTGTGACCTAATCAAGGCAACATCGAAAAACAAGAGAAAAATCATGAGGAGAAGGGAGCGGTCAACAAAACTGTTTAAAACTGCAATCATGTCACACAGCTGTTCTCCACCTGCGCCTTCTATACATTCACTGTTTCTAGACACACTACAACAGAAATATTGCCTATGGTGACTAATCACCACCACATACAGCAGGCACATTTCACTGCAGAAGCATTGCAGACCAACTGCTGAGTGTGCTGTTTCAGCTGGTTGGCTTGTGCCATGACACGTCTATTCTCCAGCTGTTAGGACACAACCAATCCCTGGCTCCAAAATCAGTGGACAACCCAAGTCAGGAACGATTGCACCTTTTTCAGCCACAATTTGATCTTCAGCTACATGACCTGTTGTGTCATTCCCCCAGAAGGTGAGGCGAGTCCTCTTATAAAGTGATGGATGTACCCTGATAGCAAGCCAGAGCCCGAGTTCTATGCTCTCCCCCAAACTGTTGCTCTTTGTCAAGAAAAAGAAACCAAAAGAAAGCAAATGGCTGCTCTTTTCTAGTGAGAGCCAGCTGTCTTCTGATGAAGAATATAGTTTTAAAAAAAATCACAAGATTACTTTCTTCCTAATATTTAACATTACTTAATGCAGTTTCCTGCTGTAATTAATAGTAGCATGCTGTTGGATCTACTATTATCTCAGAGCCCAGTGAAGCGAACCTTTGGCTGGCGGAGTAGACACAACTCATTTCGTATACCAAAAGCAAAAGAAAACTTCGTACAAAAGAGAAGAGTATTTGGATGGATGTGCCATTACAAGACGTACTGATCGGGCGCTACTAGAAGCAAATGGAGGGGAAGTTGCAAGTCTCACAAATCATACATCCTGTCAACATCATAACGCAATGCACAAGAAGCCAGCGAGAACTGAATATATGGGAGGTTTTGCTGAAATACTGTGGAAAAGCAATCACAGTAACTGTACAAAACTTGCTCTCAACGTAACAGAACATAAAGGCACCATTGATATCTTTCTCGTTTTGAAATACTGTAAAAAATTGCTACATATGGCACATAACACATTTTTACATACATATATTTAATTTATAAAAGTTTTTTTCCTGTTTTCTATTCGCAGAACTGCTAAAATAAAATAAATTGTTTAATTTAAGGTGGAATACTTTATTATATAAAATAAAGTTTTACAGGTGAATCTATGTGTTTATTTAGGTTTTATACAGCGATAGGGTCTTGGTTAGCGATTACACTCGTCAGCCTGGCCTGCAATTCTTCCTGCGGAGAGAAGCGGCCTGCTGGGTTAGTCCTGCTGTCCGCCAGGCGGAAGGCAGGTGCTGCCTCAAGACTGGCGGCCAGGGGGTTCTGAATGCCCAGGAAGGGGGTATCTTCCCCTACTCTCTCATCTTCTGTCTCACTCTCTGAGTGAGTGCCTTCCGCACTTGCGTTGCTGTCCATTTCCAACCTGTTGGCAATGTGGCCATTGGGCTTGGTTCTTTTGGGCCGCCGGCTACTGGTGAGTTTCTTAACAGGCTCTTGAGCTGGCTCGTACTCCTGGGTGGTTTCATACTCCTCGTCCTCCACTATCCTCAAGGGGCTAGGGGGCAGGCTGTTGCTCTCATGCGCGGGGTTATGGTGGTAGGAGGTGAACTGCGGGGGGTGGCGGTCATACTTCTCCCGCAGCCTCGGTGGTGTCACGAGAAGCAGAGGTCTTTCTTCTTCCACGAAGGGGCTGACTGCCATGGAGGGCATGGATACCGTCGTGCCGGACACAGGTGGAGACATTTCCGAAGGGGGAGATTTGGGGGAGCTTGGCGTGTGGAAATCTACAGGTGACATACGAGCCGGGGTGGTCATTGCTGACACATACCTGTGTGAGCACAGAATACCCTGCGTGAGTGTGGTGGAATAAGAGGCATCCAAGCAGGGAGGGGACGGGGACAGAATTCACGATATTATAGAATCAGAAAACAAAGACGGTCGATTCGTTGGATACATCTGGATTTTTAACGCTAAGGACATTCAGCACCCTTGGAGTCTAACATTATGTAGCCAAGAGTTTCCTCACAGGAGTGCATGCAAAGATCAGCTAAGTGGCCTAACTCATGGAAACTTTGGGGATTTTCAATCTCATCGTGGTTTTAAATAAAAGCCTGTGAGTCAGGATAAGAGGGCACTAGGTCCCGGAAGCCTTTCAGTTTACGAGGACCAAGGCGCGGGGATTTGGAAGGGAAACAAGTATTACTTAAATACTATACCTTCCTAAAGGCCAAGGGGTCTTAGAGAATGAAGCCCAAATGGGGAATGGAAGAAGATCTAAGATGAGTTGCTGATAGCTGGATCTGAATGCATTTGGATCTGTGTGCCTTGTTTCTCCTTAGCTCAGCTATAAGGTTATGTCTTATGAAAAAAAAAGAGCATAGTAACTTAGATTTATTCCTGATAACAGTGTAACACATTTGTGTGCTTTTAGTTTTTCCATGAAATGCTACCTCTTCACATTCAATTTGCAACTATCCATCTCAGTGACCAAGACGTTCAGAAATAAGCCTGGGAGAACCTTATGTTGGCTCCCTGGCTATGTCCAATCTCCAGTCCACCTCTTTTAAAAAACCCAAGGCTGTATCAATCTTTGGCTTATATTTGGTGACTGCTCAAGGGGTGGCTGTACCATGTTACCTTAGGTCCTGTTATGTCCAATGGTGCTCGGTAAATCTCACTGTGACTACACTGAGTGCATTCTTTATTGTTTTCTTTCTTTCTTTCTTTTTCTTTCTTTCTTTCTTTCTTTCTTTCTTTCTTTCTTTGTTTTTTTTTTTTTTTTTTTTTTCCATATCACGTTTTTCTCCACCAGAACAAGAGACCTGACTTACTACTGAGGAAGAAGGGGCTTATTCAGAGTCACATTTCTCAACTTCTATAAAAATGTTGCCAATGCACAGCACCAAGGACTCTTTTCTTCACATTGGCATTCACAGAGTCTAATTTGACATTAACTTGTGATGACACAGGACACCATTTTCTGAACTCTAGCTAACAGGAACAGGAAGCCTATTAACTTTCCTGCTTTTCAGCCATGATTCAGAGTCACATGGATGTGAGGTCTAGCTGTGTCTAAACTGGGAAGGCATCTTAGAGATTGAAATACTTGGGGCTCGAGGCTTCAACTTTCGTTCTGGGGATACTTAAATTAAGCTCTCTGAGAAACGCTAATCCAAATTCAACCAATGCGTACAGGCAATGGATCTTTTCTCTCCATGCTCTGTAGGTCCCGGTATATTTTGCAGTCCTAGATAATATCTGTGGTATGCGTGGAAGCCCACCACAGCAGGGAAATGTCAGCCTTTAAAGAGAAATATCACACGTAGTGATGAAGAAAGAATTTGTCCCTGAGGTCTTTTTCAGGTCTCAAAAAATAATGAATTAAGACAGATAGAATGTCTTAATACATAAAGATGCAATTATATGAATTTAAGACTCATGTTTTAAACCAGTTTGGGACCATGCCTACTTTTTCACAGATGAATGACAGAGCAGCCTTTAATTCCATAGAATTCTGAAATACCATTTTGGGGCAAAGACCCTTGAGGAGTGGTCAGCAAGCTCTACATGACCTGCTGGCCCCAAACTAGTCATCTTTTGTTTTAAGGACTGCCCAGTCAGTCCATGAGTGGACAGAGTCTATCAGAGTTATCTCCGCCCATGTAACTATCAAATAGGTATGGACATGTACCAAGGCAACATCACGTAAACCTTTCAGCAGGTGGTCAAAGATCACACTGAGATGGTGATATATAAACAAACAAATGACACCATTTTGGGTTTGCAAACAAACAAGCAATAGCGTACTGATACGCTGCCAATGCTGGTTGGATATAACTCTCCCAATTTAAGTGAAAATGAATAAAGAGAACCTATGAATTCAGTATCCCTAGTAAGCATCTCTTAGTTTGCTTTCTTCTACTCTTCATTTTACCTTGTCTGTAACTCCCCCAGCCCAATCCGAGATTCCCCAGAAGAAAGCCAAAACATTCTGGAATAAAGGACCATGTCAAAAGCAATATTGGTTTGGAAACCAGCTGTGAAGACTGCCAGACACAGCAGGCAAAACATTTATTTATTCATCCCTTCTTCGAATTTCATAAAAGGGATACTATGTGGTGGAACACAAGCGGTCATTCCCCACGACAGTCAGCAGTGACACAGCCCTTGATTTGATTTAACCGAGTCTGGAAGGTAAGAAAGAGTTAGCACACGAGAACACGAGAGCAGCTCGACCAGAGTTTGGGTAACTGGCAAATTAGAATTACAGAAAGGGTCCTTATCAACCATTGGTGCCATCTCTCTAAAGTTACAGCCGAGAAAACTGAGATCCCGGGTGGGTCTGAGCCTAAGGCCAGAGCTAGGAACTCCAGGTTTGCCGCACCTTCCACATCAAATCGTTCCCGCCCTTTAAGGGTCTGCTGCCTGTCAGCCGCTGGGATGACGCGAGAAGCTCAGGAGAAGTGAGCTCAGACAAAAAGATGACTTCCTCAGCTAGGAAACTCCTAGCACAGGCAACTGCTGCCCCTTATTCTCATTAGATTTCCGCAGGTGAGACCACAGGTGCTCACGGGGATTCCCCTACTGCGTCTCTTTCTCCTCTGCGGTAGCTGTGCCCTTGGGGTTTACCTTTCACTATGAGGAGAGTCTCGGTAGGAGTCAGGGGTTTCTCTGGCATGCCTGAGGAAGCTGTTACACTCGCGAGGGCCTCCCACGCCATTAAGTCGTCCTCTTGGGCCCCCAGAGGGGCTGCTGTGCCTACTGTTCTCTACTGATGACATCATGATTACAGAGTGGCTTTCCGAAATGATGCTTTCAGTGTGCCCATTACTCCAGCTAGAGGGGAAACGTGAGAGGCGAAGAGATATACTTATGCATTTCTTAATTACATGCCAAAATGGAAATGAAAGGACGTGATCTGGTAACTATTTCAAATTATTGGTGTATCGGCAGTTCACTACAACATTACTTGTCTCAGAATAGAATTGTCAGAAAGATACTCGCTCTAGAAAGGATTTAGAATGGCTTTGTAAGGATACAGCTTATGTATTTGCTCACCCATTTGACACTTTATTTTCCAAATGTCGCTATGTACTATGTATTCGTACAATCTCTCTGTTCTTGAGCGGCTTACGTTAAGGAAATACTTGGCCTGTGAGCTGCATTTTGCAGTCCAGTGTTGCCCTTGGTAGCATGAACTGGATCAGCAAGACATCTGAGAATTTAGAGTTCAGTTATTAAACCAGTTCGCACGTGCATTTCAAAAGGCAGCCCAATCATTGGAAGAAGCCAACTTTTAAGCATTATAGAGCATCTAAGCCAGACTTTTTCCACTGTAGCAATTCAGTGAGGGGTCGGGCCTGAGTAAAGACAATCTCTAAAATGGGGAACGAAGATCCTGTGGGTAGGCATTCTTTTCATTTTCAGTAATGAAAAACTTGAGGCTCAAATTTAAACAGCAATTAAATGGCAGAGCCAGTTGATGTCCAAAGTCTGTTTTTGTCCTAAACCATACATTTAACCGTGTGTCCCTGCCTCATAAGTGAGTATCTCCTGTTCCTTTCTTAGGCAGTGACAGCAAAAGGCAATATATACAAATTTACTCTTGGAGGAGTGCCTTATAATTTTATTTTGCCTTCTCATACCTGTGACTAGGAGTCTGAGTGACAGTGGTGGAGTGGTGAGCTGTAGAGGTATAGTGACTGGTCGAGAAAGATGTCTCCGCTTCTCTCTCAACAATATGCTCACTAGAGATGACGTTTTTAGAGACGTATTGCTGGATAAACAAAGAGACACAACTTGAAGATTCATATTAATCAAAACAGTAACATCAGCATCACACAAATCTATTCTAAGTACATATGCTTCCTAATAAATTCCATTTCTCCAATGGTCAGATGGCAAGTCATACCCTGGCTACATGGCCTTTAAATTCAATAAATGAAATTAATAAATTATCCTTTGGATGTGCACGCGGCATAGATTCTATAGTCTTAACTGCGTATTATCAGAAACAGACCTATTCCTTCTATCTTATTTCCAACTGAAAATGTGACTGGAATTCAATACAAATCTCTGCCCGATATCCATTTTTGTCATCGTTATAAGTGAAAGAAGATTAACAGATAGTTGACTGAAACAAAAACGTAGAGATGGTTTGTCTTATTTCAAATTTCAAGTCAGTGGAGGAAGTTTTTTGTTTTTTTTTTGTTTTTTTTTTTACAATATCTGCATTTGGGATCTACCTTTCTTTTTCAGTTTCCCAGCACCCATGTTGCCCTAATGGTATCACTGAAATTTTTAACTTATCGGTGGTAAGACTAACACGGCCACCAAGCGATCTGAAGGACGTACAGAAGCTGTCGAGATCACACATCTTGACAAAGCACATAACGTATAGGGGGCGTATCCATGGTGCAAATAGATTCTACTTTATTTTCATCACCAAATCACACTAGCTATTACTTCAGTCGATTCAATATCCACTGCAGTCAATGAAAGAAGCACACTTTGAAGTTGTCTTTTAAAGACACCACATTGAGTAAAATAACAGAAAAAGGCATGTAAAAGAATATTCTCAGTTGAAATGGGCACTTTATAAGCAATGGGCTGTGGGCTTTAAAAGAACTTGATGTGTTTACGGAAACCCCCAAAATATACAGCTCGAGTGATGTTTGAAACTCTGGCTGGTTCTTTTAGCAGAAAGGCTGTTATTCCATGTGGCTCTTTCTGGGACGTAAAGTTAGCTTGTTTTAAGGCAAAGATGGTGATGTCATAAATAATGAGCTCTTCCTAGTCTGTGTACCATTTCACTCTTGGTCCTTGAAAGGCAATGTAACCTTAGTGAATCTAATGAAAATGATACTTAACAATTATTGAACACTCACTGAATGTCACTGGGCTAAGTGTTTTATATGGATTGTCTTATTTAATGCTCACAGAACTTTCTGAAGTAGGTATTATTTTTAGGCCTGTTGTCATCATGAGGAAACAGGGTTTAGACAGATTAAAGCCTAAAGCAACACAGCCCAAGACATAATTGGAATCACGCAGCCACTTAGACACAGTGACAGATTGGAGGTTTGCCTGTATGTAGTGAATGCATTTATCAACTGTGTAGAACATTCCAGTGAACACTGGTGGGGGGAGGAAAGCAACAAAATATACTAATATATCAGCCTTTCCTCTGTCCCTGGAAGGTCTTCGCTACAGGTCTTGCTGGTAGTAACCACCAAGGCTGAACAGGATTCTAGGATAGATTTGCTCCAAACAAAAGACACATTTTCCTATAGGATAGAGAGTGGTACTGAATGTAGTCTTCAAGCTTTGCCTACAAAAAGCCACGCATCAGAGGGAAATGAAGCGAACAGGAAAAAATTATGGTGCAAAAAATATAGAGAAACACTCCAAAAGGCAGGAAAGCTGAGTCCGGCTCTAGGAGGCTGGAAAGATTGTATCTAAAGACTCTTCAGAATGTATGACCTATTTCTATCTAAAAGCCTAGTGCTTGGTAAATTTTAAACAGAATGTTTGAGTGATTGAGGATCTATTTCCTCTGGAGGGTTTGACATCCTATAGAAAGAGTCAGGGAAGAGGAGGCATCGTTCTTTCAGTTTTGCCACTGAGAAGCGAGTTTGATAAGTCACTTGGCCCTTCCACGCCCTAATTTTTCCCTTGGTAAGTCAGAATCAGTAAATCATCGGGCGCTGGGAAATGCCTCTAATAAAAATGAGTCTAAAGCCCTTAGCTCAGTCATTAGCACTAATCAGTTATAGACTGGAATAGCCTTCATTTCCAAATCATAAAAATAAAATAAAATAAAATATTTCCCCCTGATTCTTGTATCATTCATTTCATTAGTTTTCTTTCTGTTTTTCTTTCCTTTCTTCCGGTCCTAGTCTCCCTGCAGAACAAACCCAATATTATTATGCCAACCCCTTAATGAACACTTTGTAAGAGGAAATGTGCTGGTGTTACAGGAACCAAATTCACTTTAAAAAATGTTCCCATTCTTTTCTCCTGGAGAAACCCTGGATTCCTGGAAGCTGTGGTGATTAATGGCAGCAGCGAAGAGCCTAAGAGCTTTAGAAAATAAACTTCAAGGTGCCTGAACAGAGGAGAGACGCTCAGCTTTTCCACTGGCCAGAGTCAACATACATTCACCAGCTGGACGTTCTCGGGGGGTGGGTTGGGGTGGTGAGGCCCGTTTGCTATGTTCACCATGTTGTTTCGCTCAGACCGAAGACTCTGCCGAAGCCGGTCATGCAGCTTTTTCCGTTGTTTCCTGGATATGAAAAAGAGGGAGCATTTATTATTTTTTTTTCTGTTATTTGGTACAATTTTTTATCCTACCACCATGTAACTCAGGTAGGAGATTAGTGGTGGTGACAGGAGAGGGTGTACCACTCCATCTCAGAGTCTGCCTATGGACAGAAGTGGAATCCCACATTCTTAGTGAATAGATTTAAGAAGTTGGGTGGGATTCTTACAGGAATTGAACCGGACTGCTGAGAGATCAGAAAAAAAAAAAAAAAAAAAAAAAAAAAAAAAAGGAGAAGATACATCAAGTTGATATTTGGCTCAAACCCCAACTTTGGTCATCAATCCATCTTTGCCTAAGTCTTACACATGGTCATTTGTCTTAGGTAACAATCTGTGCCGTGCAATGGACGAGGCTGATTCTGATTTCATGTATGATTTTGTCTGTGGGTCTCTTAAGGAAATGCAGTTAATTTTGAATCTGTGCCTCATACACAGCGTGTGAGCATGTATAGCATCGTACATGAGCGCACACAGGTACATATTTTGCCAGTAGATTTAGCGCAGTTATAACACGATCTCACTCCGGTTAACACTTTTTTTGTGTAAGTAGGCAATGAGTATTGAAATATTGAAGTTGAATCTAGTAGGACTCATAAGGTAGATTCTAGTAAGGCTTATCTCTATCACTCAATTCTGTCAACACATTAAATCCTGGGGTACTGGGGCGCCTGGGTGGCTCTCATAGTTCGTGAGTTTGAGCCCCACGTTGGTCTCTGTTCTAATAGCTCAGCGCCTGGAGCCTGCTTCGGATTCTGTATCTCTCTCTCTCTGTCCCTCCCCTGCTCGTGCTCTGTCTCTGTCTGTCTCTCTCTCAAAAATAAATAAACATTACAAAATTTTTAAACAAAACCCTGGGGTATTAAGAAAATGCCATCCATGCCCTTAATTTTATGGTATAAAAGCATATTGTCTTTGGTCTTCAATGCAACGTTCAGGCCATGATAATATCCCCATGACTAGTTTTGGCAAGAGAGTTTATGTGATGAAGCACCAAAACAAAACAAAACTGTTAACGTTATTTCCTACTTTAAGTAGATCTTCTACGTAAGAGAGAAAAGTGAAGGGACTTCATGCCACACGGTAATTGTGTTTGTTCATAGGGACCCAGCTTCAAGGGCCAGACACAGTGAACACACATCTGCTTTAGTGTTTTCTCTAATTCTTTCAAAGCAAGATTTGCTTGATTTTCCTCCCATGAGATTCCTTTTGTACATCTCACGCTTTGAGAGCATTTGAACCAGTAAGCTCATTAGATGGAACAGAAAATCAATCCCAATGATGTTTTTAAAAACCTGCATTCCCAACACCACCAAGTGTTTCCTTTATCTCCTAAGTCTGAGTGCAAAGCAGAACACGTCCTCGGCAGGGATAGGACAAGTGCGCCTTGGTCACCGACTGCTGTCCTCTCAGGATGTGGTGCACGTCCACACGCACACGCATGTGCCCCACAGGCCCGTCCCTCCACCCCTTTTGATCACGGGCCGTGGTCAATGACCAGAAATCTTCTGAATATTTTCGCACAAACAGGCAGAGCTTTCTAGTTATGTGATTAGAAAAGGTCCTCCAGAGAGATTATTCTGGGGAGAAACATGAGAAGAAACATCCTCCTGCCTCCCCACTCCCCCTTCTCAAGACCAGGCCGTTGAATCTGTTTTGTGCAATGCCCCGCCGGCTAGGCCTTCTCTGCGTGAAGGGGAGAGAGGCACGGAGGAGGAAGCTTTACTTGGTTTTGCAGTATGCCACCACACACATGATGCCGACCACAAGCAGGGCGATGCAGATGCCGGTGATGGTCAGCACTCTCTTCTGGTAGAGCTCCTCCGCTTCTGGAAAGGGATGAGAGCAGACGTCACCAAGGCCCCCTTACACGTGCCGGGACTTAACAACTGAACAGTTGGCATGCTGCGTTGGCATTGTCCATGTTCACAAGAAAGTAAATACGAGACAATTCATTACTTTTGCAGACATACTTAAGGTACAGCATACTCTGCATTGTACTTTGAGCATAAACAGCAAAGCCAGCTGGGGCCATGTGCGATTAAAAAAAAAATTACACTATTAAGTTACTTTACGTATAAGCTGCAGGTATATATGTATTAAACTGGCAAATCATCAACATTAATTATAAAATAATTATTTAGTCAAAACTGTAGTTTTTAATTAAATAAAAAAAAAACCCATATCTTGCAAAGACAACAGGAATCAATGCCAATAAAACGAGTTGGGGTTGGAATCACTGGGGCCATCCTCCCCTCCTCCCTCTTCTCCATCCCCCCCGCCCTCCCAAGCCTCTTTTTATTTCCCATCTATGTTATATTCCGGCGGTCTTTACAAGGAGCCATTTCTAAATTTAAAAAAATAAACTCAAAGACATTTGCAAACATGAGCTTGACTTGTAGTTAGCAACAAAACTGAGGCAGGATCCCTACGATTAAACTGTAAAATGTAAACATAAGCCACACGGTGGGGGTAGCAGTGTACTGTATCAGAGAAAACCCAATATGGTGGGTAAGATAGTCCTGGGCCAAGATGGAGATTTGTCCTTTGAAAGACAATTATTATTACCCCACCAGTTGTACTTAGACACCTAATGTATCTGTGTAAAGAAACCACTAGCATCCATGATATGCGACTTGGAATAGATTGTAATGCATTGCTGTGGTGACCAGCTTGGCAAATTAGCTAAGGTAGGTTACACTAAGGGAGTCCGATGCTTAGAACTTTGGGTTAAGAGCAGCACTGTACCCCCAATGTGACCAGTATCTTATTCATGGAAGTCTTTCTATTTGCAAATCGGTTTTTGGGAGGGATCATTTGATTATACGTTGGTGGGTCAGGCTTTTAATGAGATTGGCAGATTTCGTGGTGAACCTGATCCCTTAGGAACTGAGTTTCCAACTAGTCTAATTATATTTATTGGAAGATATTCACTGAGAAAGAGAACTCAACCAGTGTAGAATAAGCAATGTAAGTGGAACTTGCCAAATTGATTAATAAGCTGGTCAAAAACTGGAGGATGTTGTGCAAATGACGGTCTCTTATCTGGACGTCGACATGGGGCCTTAGGGAACATTTTTGGTTTACATTCTCAGTCTTAGCCACCACACCTTCTTCTCTGCTGAGAGAGGGCAAGTCGCAGAAAGGTCTTCTCGAAATGAAAAAGTGCGTTTTATTTTCTGTGATACAGTAGACCTTACCATTAAACAAAAAAACATTTCCTACAAGCCAAGCCCATGGTAATCAAATTCCAGTTAACAGATCAGGAACATTGTCAAATCAAATTAATAGAGCACTGATTATTAACAGGAGGAGAAGGAGAATAGAAGTCAGTGGGTAAAAGACTAGAATGCTACAGAAATTCTACAAAAACAAACCAAAAGGGTGGGAAGTGGGAAGGAAAAAACAAACCAAGAGGACAGACAGACTGACAGAATGACGGAGAGAGGGAGGAAGTCGGGTACGAAGGAAAACAAGGTTGAAAGTGAAGGAGCCATCTGAAGTCCCTGGCACAGCATGCCCGATACTAAGGGAAGAAAAATAAATAAACAAAAGAAAACCAGAGGGAGGAAATGCTGGGCGGGAAGAGAAGGTGGATGTAAAGTTGGAAGGGTGAACCCATACAGCATAACTCCTACCCTAGGCTGGCGGTCACGTGGCAGCCACAATTAGAAAGCAAAGCAGCTGGTGCATTGCAAGGAAACAATGAACCAGGAGACAGAGTGGTGGCACATACTTTGGCCGCAAAAGTCAGATGATGAGGTGGAAGGTGAATGCTTCTTTGTTAATTGCTGTGTCTGCTGCCTCCCCTCCCCCACAGCCACAGGACAGGGAATTAAATTTTATGAGGTGTTAATCTGTGAGCTGGTGCCACGGGAGCTTCCTCCTTGACCTGGCATCTGGATCAGTTTTTAGCACTATGTCTAAGAAGGAGAGGTGGGGCCCGGGACAGGAGGCAGGGTTCCTGCCGGTGTGGTAAGTTGGTTCGGAAACAGGAGTGTAGACATGTCCTTGACCCTGCTTTACCCTGCCCTCTTTCGCTCACTCTCTTTTTTTCTTCTTTTGAAAGGAGGAGGGCTTGGTGGCACTGGCATCTTAACGTGCTATTTTTAGAAAAAGCTGGGAGATTACATCTGCAAACCGTGAAAATGGGATGTATACAGGGACCCAAGGGGGAAAAGGCATCCCACTACTCCCAGGGATTCCGTTGAGAAGTTTCTCGGCGGTTGTTCGTTAGGAAAGAATAGACTGACCTCAGTTTGTCAGCAGATGTGGTATGATGATTCACCACTCTGCCCTACGTGATACGGGAAGACACGCATTTTCCAGCGAAATTGGTCATGGAAATGAAAAGGCAGCTCAGGAAAGGCCAAAGGGTAAAGAAAGCAAAGTGCTAAGATGAACCAACTAAAGACAAGGCCCATGGAATACAGAAGGATTAAGATTCTGTATTCACAACGGCATTTCCCGAATACATTAAATGTTTCCCAGTTCAGTTTCTATTCCATTTTCCAATGATTTACTAGAGCAGGGAACCCCCACATTATGAATGTGTTAAAAGGGAAATACTTGATGAACAATAATGAAAACAATGGGTTCTTCTGACCCCCCCCCTTTTTCCTTATTATTATTTTTTTTTCCTAGCGTGACAGGGTCAATAGGGCAAAAGCAAATTAGAGGCAGCGCTGAAAAAGAGAATCCGTCAGTCCAGTTGGCGGATGTGCCTTAATGAATGGAAACGCTTCCCAGTCCTTACTCTATGGTTTGGCTGAATGCTTTGCAGTGAATCAGATCGAGCATGTTTTTCTGTCTGATCTGGCCAGGCTAAGAGACAGAAGCCTTGTCTTTCTCAATTGCAATTGATCTTTAAGGTCTGATTTCCCTTAAGGATGGAACATTCTGGCTCAGTACACCGGCTGTCCTGAGACTTTGGAGTTTTAGACCGTTTGCCTGTAAGAGGTGTGCAGATACCAGCATATGGTGTCTCTACTGCTCCTTCAGGTCTTACTGAGGGAGAAGTCGTATATCTGAACTATCCATTGCCCTACCTCATTGGGAATAGAAGTATTAAATTCTAGTTAGACCCTGAAGTGATAAAGTGGGAGAAAGATGCCGTTAGGGAAAAGGAGCAGGCGATAATGGATTTGTTTTCTCCCTGTAGGAAAGGCCTGTAAGCCTTTTTAGTAGTGGAACTATTTTTATCCAGAGGGAGGTTACTTGAATAGATCCCTCTCTCTCTACGTAGATAATCTGCCACCCAATGCTGATCATGGGACCTCTTGAGATTCTCACGCTTGGGAGAGATTCTCTGATCTGCAAAGGGCCACTCCCATATAAGTGGGGGTTTTCTCATCACAGGAATTGTTTTCTCTTGGGAGTTTTTACAGGAGGAATGGTCAACCAATTGAGTTTCTAAACCTATAACTGGCAGAACTTGCAAAAGTCTTATTCTCCACGAATTATGGAAAGTATATTAGATATAGATGGTGACGTTATCATCCAAACGAGAGCAGCAGTTATGCTACAGGGTGCCCTCACTGCATGATGTCACTGACACCAGCTGCATGGAGATCAGACATTCTGTTAATCAGGACATTGCTTTGTTGACCCATGGCCACATTCCAGGGCTGCTGGTGCTGTCCAGAAAGCCCGGGTACCTGCGCTGTGGAGCCTCTGGGATGACAGAATGGTTTCCCTCTCCTCCCAGGACTGGCCCTTGCTTCCAATAATTTAGGACAAAGGATTTCAAAGGGACTATGCCCCAAATTCGTATGCTGCTAAGAGATATTTTGTGTTTACAGTGTGAACATGTCTATTTGATTACTTGTCTGGATGATCTTAGTGACTCAAGGTTAATTCCATTAGTGCTAGAATTTCCACTGAAAATAGCACAAGGCTTTTTTCTTTCTGTTTTCTATTTCCTTGCTCATAAGATAATGAAGTTGACTACAGCAGCGCTTGAACATTCCCAGAAAATCAGTCTGTGCCTACAATATTGTGTTGCAATGTCAGGGCTTTCTATGTTACTATATTAAATGGGTGATTTTTACACTGCATGTCAAGTTCCCATCAGCCTAAGACGTGGCGTGCTTTTAAGTCGATGCATTTAGAGCTTCTTTTGTTCTCAGACCTGGTTTGGTTCTTCCCATAGCCTTCCACACCTCTCCAACTTACCCCAGCTCTGAAATAACAGCATGGTCGGATCCAGAGGGTCAAGGTACGTGGGACATGTGTGAATTTGCAGCAGGTGAGGTGATTTTAATCTCTAAGTGAAGTTTGGAAATCTAGAAACTGCTGCACTCAGTGACATTTTGGTAAACTAATCATAGATGGGACGCGAAAAAATCATTGTTATAGCTGTATGATCCCTTCTGAAGGAAAAGGAAATTAGTTAGGAATTGAAAGGTAAGAGCAGAAAAGGAAAAGATTTCAGCTCAGAGGTTCTAAATTCTGCAGGCTAAAAGGAATGATGATTGGTCCATACCCATAAATTCAATCCCAAGATGCTCTGCCAATGCAGAAAGTTGACAAAAAAAAGAAAGAAAGGAAACAAGTTTCAGAAAAGAGCAATACACTGCGCTCCAAAACACATTACACATGACTATTACGGCTCTCTGTGCGTGCACACGGAACAGGACGAATGGTGGGTGGTTAACACAAGCAGTGCTCAGGTACGCCTCCGTGAGTCCGCATAGGGGACTCGTCTTGTTAAAGAGGTGTGCAAATACCAGCACACCGTGTCTTTATTAACCCTTAAAAGACCTTACTGAGGGAGAAGTTGTCCTCATTTGGGAATAGAAATATTGTATTTATGATAATAAAGAAAGGCATTCAGTATTATTTCATTCCTCTCTTTAAAAGGCAGAAGTGCAGTTCCAGGGAGGTGATTTTTTTTTGCCCAAAGGCACATGGTTGGCAGAGCCAGGGGTGGAAGCCAAGAGGACAGCACTCAGGTCTGAAAATTTTGTCACACTGGATTTACAGTTTTTGTAGTTTGTGGCTAGTTATGCTCTAATATTTCTCATTGTTTTGGTTATTAAAATATATATATATCTCCTCTGTTCCTAACCTTCTCCGCTCTCCACCACTTACATGTTCCATTCACAGAAAGCAACAAATGCTTCTGCCCAAAAAGCCAGAGAGGGAATTGAGGAACAGAGCCTGCATCTAGTTTTTTGGAAGAACTCCTGCATGGCATAGGATAACTCTCGATGCCTTGCTTTTTCAAATTGTAAAAAGAAAAGGGGGTTGTGTGGGAGAAGGATCCAATTCCTGGGGTCCTTAGTTCAATGGATTACTTCCTCAAATAACAGAGAGCCAATCAGATGATCACTCCACGGTGCTGAGCTCCGACGGCCAGATGAGAGCCCAGGGCTCCGGGAGGGAACCCCAAGGTGTGAGCTCACAGTCCACAGTCCTGGCAGATGTGAGTGCAGAGACTCAAGACTAAAGGACTAGCAGAAACTGCACAGGTTCAAGCAAGGAAATGGGGGACATGGGCAAATTAAAAATAGAAACAAAAACCTTCCAGAAAAGATGCTTTCCAGGCTGAAGCAAAAATTGTTAATCAAATTTTATCGGGGGTGGTGGTGGTGGTGGCGGGGGACCCCTTAGGATTGCTTATTTGTGCGTGGATGGTGGAGAGGCACATGGGAAGGAAGGGCAGAAGGCACATGGAGATTCAGAGGTCTCCATTTCTTCCCTTCATCACTGACTCGAGAGATACCACGGTGGTCCAAGAAACATGACAAGGCATCGATCTCTTAACTTTGAAAACATGTGATTGAGGGGTACTCCTCTCACAAAAACATCAGTCTGGGCATGGACAAAGCATCCTCAAGTAGAGAGGAGAAAATAAGGAGGGTCGTGTGCTTAAGTCCTCCTGTTTTCAGGTCCTGCCTCTGCCATTTGCCTGTTCAGTGACTTTGGACGTTAATTTCTCATTGACAAAATGCTTATGATACTAACACAAGCGCCACAGGGAGACCCTGTGGAATAAAGGAGCCAGGAAATATGTCGGCCAACAGCAGAAGGGTTTAAGAGCTTGGAGAGTGGACTTATCTGGAGATCTACCTTGGGCCCCTTATTACATGTAGGTTTCCTTTTACCTAATTCATGGCCAGGAAAACTCTGAAAGCTGCTGGGATATACCCAAGAAGTGAGACTTTAAAAACTTTCTACCTCTTGAGGAAACGGAGCTTCCAGATTAAAAAATAAATCAGAGAGGACATTGAGTAACAGTAATAACGAGAGGTAGTGTGGACAATAGATCAGTCTGCCTTGGTTGGCCCGGGCTACTCAGGTGAATAGCCTAAACTTTTCATAAATTAAAAGCCACAGGATTCAGGATTAATTTGGTTGCACAATGTCCACAGCAAAAGTTAACAATTTATTCAAATCCAAATGAACTTCTCTTGTCTCTGTGCAACACTCAATTTGACAAAATATTTCCCCCTCATTTGCTTCCTTTATATAAACTTTGGAACATCAAGGATAAGAATTCATTTTCCAAGGAAGTGATAATAAATTTCCTTACACATTTCCTTGAAGATGTGACTCAGTTTTTCTCCCTAGAACCCCTTCCATCATATGCCTTTTCCTCCTACCAGTCAGTAATAATTTAAGGGTTAAAGCCGAGATATCTACAGAAACTCTTTTCAGAGAATCATTATTCCATGCCTACATGAACACTGCTAATGATCTATATTAGTTGCGTAGAAAGCTTGGTTAAGTCTTCAATAAAATTAGTAGCATGCCCATGCATACATATTACTGCATTTACAGTTTTATAGGTAAGTCTGTGAGCCTAACTATAATTTCATTTCATGGGAAGTCATTCATATCAGGCAGCTCCAATTTCAAATAATTCAAAGGGAAATTGGTACTTAAAATTGGAATCTCTTCTGGCCATAAGCCCTAACAAGGAAACAAGCAGAGGAAACATGCATCATTCTCGACCTGGAGCAAATACTGCTCTCATTTATTTTTACTATTGGTGGCTACATTTCTTTCATTGTGAGTCAAGAAAAGCAGAATACGCAAACACTTTTCATTTGATGAAGAAGTTACTACTTTCTATCTGTTCTATTTAACCTAATGTTGGCTTAGGCTCATTATGTATCATACGCTTCCTATTGAACTTCTGTCTCGCCACTACATTTTTCAAATTAAATTAATAATTCAAAAACACAAAGGTTGCTGTAAACAATTTAGTTTCCTTTTCTACATGTGATTTCCTGCTGTGCAGTAAGCAATATAAAAAATTAATTTAAATCTAAGAGTCTTCAGAAACTATTAAATATTGACTCACTATTCCTTTGCTTGAGGATTTTATAATTGTTTGAAGAGAACTGATTAACCTGTAGGTTAATTTAAATTTTTCAATTGCATCAGAGAAAAGAACAATTAAACAACTTTCTTTTGCCAAAATTATCCATCCATGCATTTACGGCTTCTGATAAAATCTGAAGACATTCAAGATTTTATTCTTTAATACTTTGGGCCTCCTTATGCAAACAATATCAAAGACATATGTATAGTCCTTTCTGCACCTCTGAGATTTCTAAAGGAGCTCTGTCAATGCCAGTGCTAAGTGGGACGTATTTAGTGTCTGACTTTTCATTTTTGACTTACCTTTACAAATGCAGATACTTTTTATTTTCACATATACAAATCCATATTGCCATTGAGCCTTTTGGAATGTAATAGGAGGCTTTCTCCGCACTCCCAAGTTTCCATGTGCACAGAAGCACATTCACCAACACACACACAAGAAAGTCTAACACTCAGTTAGAATTTATGATAATTTATGTCATAGATTGTGTCTTTATTCTACTGTCATCCAGATACACGTTGGATAAATTAGTAATTTCAATGGTTTTTAAAGCATTTAGAATCAACACAAGTAATTTATGCACTAGTAACCTCTGATTCAAAATTACATTTAAGGAGATCTATTGGGATTACTCATGCTGACAATATGCCTAAAAGTTCTAAAATTGTACTCTGTAAAAATATTCTATGATTTGGGCTATTCTATAATAACTTGTTATTATATATTAGTTTATATATGATATACTTGCTGTATACTGCCTCTAACTATTGAAGCTGTGTTTTTTTTTTTTTTTTTCTGCCCAGGAAGTCTATATATCAATTATGAATTGCCTATATATGCACATTCTCCCCCCCCCACCCCCAACAATGATCAATACAATCCTTGAAAGTAGGAACTCTGTCAAGGTAGGTCAAATTTGAAGCTGACTAACCTTGACAATATTTTCCTAGAAAGTATTATAAATATGTTTTATTTCAAGGCAAATGGCTGCCTTCAAGAAAGCCATATAAAATATACATTTATTCTTTTCTTTCATACTTTAAATCCATTTTTATAAATCAATAAATGTCCCCATAGAATACTCTGACCAGAAAAACTGCATCAAATCCTAATAATGTAAGTTATGTGTTAATAAGCATTTTAAAAGCTGTACATTCTTTTATAATGTCATTCTTCTATTCAAAATGTGGTTTAGTAAGTCGAAAAAATGTTTCTCTTTGAACCTGGGGAATATCTTTTCCTTCAAAATTTATGTTATGTGTTTCAGACTTTATGAACACAAACAATTAAAGTTTAATCATTACCACTGTGGCAACATTTTTTATCCTTTGTGCAGACTACACTGATACTTGAATATAAAGTTCTTAAAACAGCAAAGTGTATTTTCCTGCCTTCTATATGAGAGTCTGCAGAAATGAAAATTGAAAATTTAAGCTATAGAGGTCAGAAAATTAACGCTGGGCAAGACAACTTTGGAAAGCAGTTTCTGAAGGGAAGCTCTTGCTTTTCCAGATCCGAGGGAGCCCTGACGCACAGTCATCACAGACTGCTCATAAATTCACTTCCTATCAATCTTTGTTACATCAGGGTAAATACGAAGGCTGCTTTCTTGAATGTCTTCCAAAAGTGCGATCGAAAGCTTACTAAAGATTTTATTTAAGGAATCACACTCTGATTAAATACATAGTGGCTATTTTGAAAGAATATCTTCTGAAAAAGAAAATGGTCTAAAATAGAAGTTGAAAACATCTTCTTTGCCTACTGCTGTCAGATCTAACTGCATCATTATTTGGGGAAATAGCTTCATTTTAAAAATGCGATTCTCTATATAGTGCCCTAACATTGCCTTCAGTGCACAATGAAACTCGGTATAACACCAAACATTTAAGTGTGATACAAATGTTCAGAATTTTCACTCAATTCTACGATATGTTATCATATTTATACAGTCACATGATTTGCTAAATCTATGTTATTTGAATACAAACTGATTTCTGAAAGGAATGGCTTTAAAATATTCAGTAAAATTCTACTATTCCTCTTCTATTTTTTATTCTCCATCTTATCTACATTTAAAAAGATTAATAACATAATCTTTGATATGTAGCCTGTGTAAATATGCCATAAGCACCACCTCACTAAATAAATGATTGAATATTATGGAAATGGCCTCCCCTTAATGCATATAAAATTAACTTTTCCATGAAATTTATTCTTCCACGACTGTTAACAGGAGGAACAGGATCTTATTCTTTGCATGCATACAAGTAAGGGTAAATCTCTGATTCTTTTAGGGCCCCCAAATGACCGGCTCGTGTCACTATTCATTGTGTTACGTGAATTTACACTGATCGGCTATGTCCAGTATTTTTCAGGGTGAGCAACTGACAATCCGAATCAGGGATTGATAAATCCAGCCCACTGCCTGCTTTTGTGAATAAAGTTTTAGTAGCACACGGCCATGCCTATCAGTTTATGCATTGGCTATGGCTGCTTTGTGCAGAGTTCGTGGTTGTGCAGGTGACGGTTATCACCTGCAAACCCTGAAGTATTTACTATCTGATCTTTCACAGGGAAAAAAAAAATTGTCACCCTTTCATCTCAATGAATAACTATATGGAATCCATTTTAAACACAATGCTTTGAAAGCTCCAGAATTAGAAGCGATAGCCCAGTTCACAGCAGAAGGACAAATTACATGATCTAGTTACCCGTGCAAATTATATACATGTGGATTGGGTCTTTTAAGGATGATGTTCAACCCTTCACGAAGCCATAGAAATCCAACAAAATTTCCCAGTTCTGCATTAAAAATATATATCTGGATGTAAACTATTATATTTCAAAGTAAGTAACGAATATCAAAAAACCCCTACTTGTCCCTAAAATTGTCATTGAAACTAGCATAAAGAAATGCAAATATAAAGAAATGATTGTTTAAACTAATCCTGAATCACCTGTTTCCTAAGCAACATAAAGAGAAGCCAGGATATCTCATTTGCTGTGAAATGTTTGTCATTTTCCTACTCAGTGCTCTTTTTACACCTAAATGCAAACTGTTAATGAAGAGAAACATCTGAACTCTTTTTAGCATGTTTATTTGTTATAAATAACACATTCTGAGCCGAAATTAACTTACCATCATTTCAAGTGCATACTGATTACAATTTAGCAACATCCTTTGCAGGACGCTGCCATTTTATAAAGAAGATGGACTGTTTAGCAGAATGATTTTATTTTATCAATAACAGTGAGACTTTTAAATGCTTTTATTATAATTGCACTGTGTGATATTGGCTATCATTTTGTATCACATTATTCAGTATCCATTTCAGAAGCATCCGGAGCCTCACACACCTATTAGTATCTCAGAGCCCACTAGTCACGAACAGAGGAAGTAATACAATCGCTTGTGTTAATGTTCTCATGCGACAGGCAGAGGCAGTCAATGTTAGACCTGGTAAAACACATCTATGTCTAGGTGAAATCTGAGGGGAGATGCAACAAGAAAGCGGCAGCGACTGAGCATGCTCCTACTCAGGCAGAGACAGAAAGGGAGTGGACGTACTGTAGAAGCTGGCCATTACGTAGTTTTGGCAGCGATCACCAGTAAACTCATTTGGGCACCTGAGAGAAGAAACAAAAAACAATGGTAGAAAAAACAGAGAAAAAGAGAAGAGGTGAATATATGCTAGAAAGAAGCTCCTTCAGTGTCATTTGACTGAACTTGGCGAGTTCACCCTCAGGAACTGAGTCTTTGTCCTAACCATGGTTTTCAGACTCTGGCATTTCCCTCAAAGGATTAAAAATCTGCACAAAATGGGGTCCTAGGGTTTGTATGACAGAAAGGAAGATGGCAGCATTTGAAGTGACTGCTTTCTTTCAGAGGGACTCGCTGAAAATCGCATCTGATGGTTTCTTTATCTCCGTTTTCCACGGGACATCTTTGGTCAAAAGTGCCGGAAAGAAATGGTTTTTGGTTGGCCTGCCTGTCATGGTCACCAGAATCCCTGGCCATCCGGACTGGTCATTCTAATTCACCCCTGTGATCTTTGGGGCCCAAGCTGAGAGACAGTGAAACAAACTCACACTGAATGAGTTGATGCCCCGAGTGGCTAAACCATCGTTAGGACAAAAGGAATCAGTTACAACTGAACTGTAAAAGCACCAAGTGGTAGTAATTGTTGCTGTAGTTTGGGGGAGAAAGCAAATTTCAGATTATTTTAACATACTTTCTTGGTTTTGGACTTTCATGGGCACATTCTCAGTACATCTTGCTCCAGTGAATCCAGGTTGGCACCTAGAGGGCAAAAATGTGATAAGCAATAGAACGCTAAAGACACTGAATTTTCAGACTGGCAATTTTCCTCCTATGGAATATGGAGATTCCTACAATGACCTGGTGGCTGAACAACATAAAGAAAAGGAAAAGAACACATTTAGAAAACCATGTTCCATGGAAACTGCGGGGTACATATTTTTGTTGTTGTTTGCTTCAGTCTTCATAAGGCATTTAATGATAAATGAAATTTAACTCCCAGGGAGGTTGGCAAGTTACATAGGGCTGGCAAGGCCTGTGTAGCTAAGTCACTTTCCCTCTGGCATTTCCTTATCTGCCACTGAGCAAGGACTCCTATCTTGTTAAAACACTGGTTTTGATAAGGTCTTGCATGGTTCCATCCATAATCTTTTATTATTTAAAGGATCCTGAGCTTTTCCCTTCATAGACACTCAATTTTGTGCTTTCATAGGTACTTTTATGTTGTAAGTTCAATCATCAAACTACAATAGAAGTCAAGCGCTTACACACTCCAGTGATTACTGACCAGAAAAACTATATGCCCTATTTTTTTTAAAGGTATGACAAATTAGGTCTCCTTTTTAATACTGAAAGACAGAAAGAAGCAGACATTTATTAGCACAAACTTCACTTCATCCAGTGATCCCCAAAGACAAATACATTTTTAAAATTCAAAGGGTGGTTCTACTGTAGTACTTAATAGGTGTCATTTCGCATTTAAGGTGAAACTATTTTTAAACTGCATCAAATTTTCGTTTTACTCACATACATTCACCTATCCAAATTCTAGAATCTTGATATAATAAATATCGTTTGTAAGGTCATGCAGTGGGGATGTGCCTAAATATGGAAGTCCTTTCTAGGTGCTGTTTTTGTTGCTATTATACCAGTAATGAAAGCATTTCATATTGGATCCATTTTACCCAGTAACATGCTCTAGTCAAGAGGGCCATCAAAAGGTTCTAGGAAGCAAATTAGCTTATAGATGCTCAACACCCACAGTCATGGTTACTATCCATAGTTCATCTATACCATAACCATCATGCAAAGCCCCTAATAAAATGTAGTTGTGACAGCACACACCTCATGATTTACACATGACCGGCCCTTTCTTCTCCATAGTAAATAAGAATAAATATTATCTTTTTGGCATCAAAGCAATGTGAATAAAACCAAGAATATTTTTCTCATTCCCCTTAAAACCAAATTCCATGCCAAAAAAGTGTTATCAAGTGATTTGGTATATCTAATTCTATTTCATGAAGAATGGCCTGCAAGATAAAATACTAAAGTTCTGGATTTTTATTACTATGAGTTCTTGTGTAACTTAAATATAATTATGATCATTGGTATTATCAATAAACTTAACAATGAATATCTTATATTGATACAGCCCTTTTAACTCTTCAAAACACTTTATACACACACACACACACACACACACACACACACACACACGCACATATATATATATATATATAAAATTTGAACAAATTCTATCTATCTATATAATTGAATTGGTTTCTTTGGTTAGAATATTTTTGCAGCAGTGAATAGAGGACGATCTACCTAGAGAAATACAGAAATAAGAATGATAGCCTGTGAAGCTGGGTCATTTTTTCATAAAGATGTCACATGCTTCAATAAGAATGTCTTCACAGATATATAAGGAAAATACATGGAAACCTATTTTTCATATAATGTATTTAACATAATGACTTCTGAAATATACAGGATTTTTGTTTGTGTATTTGTTTCTGAACAAGGACTAAAATTCACATGGACATAGCCTACGATTAAGCAGGTACTCCAGAATTAAGGGCATATTCTACAATGACCATTTTCTCTTACCTGTTTGCATTATTGATAACAATTATAATTCTCTTATTGATCACAGAGTAATCCACTTGTTTCATACAATGAACATGGTATAAGACATGTGAACACTGTATGCATGTGTGTGTGTGTGTGTGTGTGTGTGTATTGGGGGGTAGAAGTGCAGAAGGGGGAGAACCATTTGAGGTAAGCAGTGCATTGATTTAAGTAAGGATCATAAAATGAACATATAGTTGAAGAATCATTAGTCGCTTAAGAAAAGGAATGCATTTATAGAAAATTGTCACTTATGCATCTTGGATGCCAGTTTGGGGATGAGAAGGCACAGGACAAGGAGGCGATGCAGATCAAAAATCTTATCCAATCAATTTTCTAATTAGTACGAACTTCTAAGGTGATGTTTCCTAGGGAATTGGCCTATGGCATGGTGGTTTATCTCTATCATAAAATGACATGGATACTTGGTACACTAACACTAGATATGCTTAAAATATGCCAATCTTTTTTGGAACAGTCAGCTGTATCTGCACCATGACTATTCCTGTGGTAATGTTTATCCTCAGATACATTTTCTTAGGGTGAAACATTATTATTCAAAGTGTGGCTCATGGACAAATGGCACCAGCATCTCCTGGGATCTCGTTAGTAGAAATGCAGAATTCCAGGCCCCCAGTTTATAACTGCTAACTAAGAATCTGCGTTTTTAACAAGATCCCCAAGAGATCTGCATGTACACTAACGTTCAAGATGTCAGAGACCCTGACCTTGGAAAACGGAGACTAAGCCCGTCTATCCTGGCACCACAGTATCTTGCTGCCTCGATGTAGGCAGCCCATTTGACTTCATGGGGCCACAGGGATAAGATGAAGGGATTTGACTAAGCGGTGCTCAACGGTTCCTTTCACCACAAAGGTTCTGGAAATCAGTGCTCATCCTGACACATGGAACCACTGTGTGGAAACTGACAGCATTTCTTCTGAATGTGTTACCAGTCATGGAGGAGGACTCAAGGACTTTTAAAAAACATTTTTGATACAATGGATTTTTAAGACAATCATGGAGGTAAAACAAACTGCAAATACCTATTCCTAAGCAATTTAAGTGTTCAGCAACAACTGTTATTATGGAACTTTTGGGGACCTCTAGAGTTGTTGCCAAATCAAATTGAAAGAAGCAGAAACAGATTTTGCCTGTGCAACACTGCAGACCGCATTGACTGTGGAGAGAAGGCATATGCAAATGGAAGCTCATCTGATCGATAAGCTCTGATTAAATTCTATGGAATTACTTCTAAAAGAATAGGGAGACTGTCTGGCTTCTGACATGTTTCTAAATTAGCACTGTACATTAAGCATCCAATCTATCACTTTCTTTGGAGATAAGAGTATGGTAAATTTAATCTCATTTTGAACAATATGCTTTGGCACGAGTCTGGGCAAATTCCAAGAATTTTGTCTCTTAGGACAATCTGTTTGAATAATAATCAAGCCTCTATTGTAGCTTCTATATATATTGTTTTAGTATGTGCTCTTAACATGAGCAATGATCTTTGTTTTACATTTGTTCTTAATGCGATGAAAATTCGCAGATCGTTTTGTCCGAACTTAGGTATCCCCTCTCCCAACTGACCCTTCCCTGACCTCCACCTCTCCATCTCCCACTTCCCTGCCCTGGCTGAGGAGTCTGTCTTTGCCTCTCACACTGCACCCTGTCCTGATCTCTTTCACAGCCCTCACCTGTCTGGGTTGGAATTCTCTGTGGTGAGGATAGTGACCATATTTTGATCGTTCTCAATCTCTAATTAAAAAAAATTTTTTTTTAAACATTTATTCATTTTTGAGAGATAGACAGAGAGACAGAGCATGAGCAGGGGATGGGCAGAGAGAGAGGGAGACACAGAATCCGAAGCAGGCTCCAGGCTCTGAGCTGTCAGCACAGAGTCTGAAGTGGGGCTTGAACTCATGGACTGCGAGATCATGACCTGAGCTGAAGCCGGACGCTCAACCGACTGAGCCACCCAGGCGCCCCACTGTATCTCTAATTTTAACACAGTGTCTGCCTTGTAAAAAGCTCTCATAAAATGTTTGTTAAACTGAGCCCAAGATAGTATTGGACGGCAGCGTCCAATAATGAACTGTATTAAAGAGACTTTCATATAGTCAATTGATTTGTCAGGTATAGGTCAATATTGAATTTCTGGCTTTTATTTGTATAGTTTATGACAGACTCTCCTCTGTAAACTCCTATATAATTTCTTCTTAATAGGAGCTCCCAGTGCTGCCCTCACGGGCCCGCTTCCCTAAATAGAAACCTTTAACATTGTGTTTGGAATTGGAAAGGGCTCTGTAACTCTTTAATAATGAGTTATTATTATGTCAAATTTAAATACTGTTGCTGAAATACCAGTTTACTTGGATTGAATAAAGTAGTACAATCTAGTGACCAAGACTTGCACATAGCATTGGTAATAACCTTAGTTCTTTTCTAGTAA